CAGACCAGGAAGCCTGGCTCAAATCTGTGTTGTAGATGGGACTCTATGATTGCAACCAGCTGTTCCTCTCGTTAGAGAGCCGGCTCCCGCTCCAATAAATCAGGCTAAGGATTCCCTAATTCAGTAGTTACTACAAGAGAGCAGGTGTTCCCTATGTGTGAGAATCTAGGAGTAAAACAAGGAGCCCAAAGGTGGGAGCTGGGAAAGCACAAGCGGGTGTGAACTCCAAGTGCATCAGTGTGTCACTGGTGACGGTGGTTTCCCTCCATTCCTTATACACGCTAAGCCCCGAAAGTTCATTCAAGTTTGTGGACTTTTTTTGATTCTCATGTAACTATACAATGTAAGCATTTTGAGGAGGATTAATAGCAAGATGTCTTTTTACTGTAATACTTTTATTAATTTAAACATTTATCATATACATTGATCACACTTCATGAGGTTCGAAGCTATAAATCCCTTAGAGGAAAATATAAGGGGAAGGTTTCCTGGTATGAGTCTTGACAGATTTCTTGGGTAACGCTAAAACATAGGCAACAAGAGGAGAAATAAGCAAGTGAGACTATGTCAAACAAACAAACAAGCAAAAAAAGATCCTCCATGGCAAAGGTAAGCCTTTTCATGAAGGGGGAACTGTAGGATCTGTGCACCTTGTTTATAATAAGCAGTTAATATCCAAAGTGTGTCAAGAAATCCTACAACTTAATTCAATTATACTATGGTCAAAGGATTTGAGTAGCCTTCTTTCCAAAGAAGACATCCAAAGGTCCAGGAGGTATATGAAAAGACGGTCAGTGCCATCAGTCACCAGGCAATTGCAAATCAAAACCACAACAGCATCACTTCACACCTTTAGAATGACAGTTGTCAAAAACCAAAAAGATAAGTGTTGGTGAGACTGTGGAAAAATTGGGAGCCTCATACCTTACTGGTGGGGGTGGAAAAGATACAGCTGCTATGGAGTGCAGTAGTGGGTTCTTCAGAAAATTAAAAACAGAACCACCATATGTTCATTTATTTACTGTTGCTAATAGCACAATGCCACAGAGCAGGGAAGTCGAATACCAGAATGATTTGTGTCATGGTTCTGGAAGATGTACAGTTGAGGTGCTGCATCTTGGAATGCTGCAGAGCTCTGTGGGGGAGCAGGCATCATACAGCAAGAGACAGGGAGCGTGTGTGTGTGTGTGTGCATGCTCTGATCTCTCTTCTTATAAAGAAACCCTATTCAACTATGGGGATCCACCCTAAGGACCTATCTAATCCTGATCACCTCCCAAAAGCTCTGCTTCTAAATACCATAGTTGAATTAAGTCAACACCTTAATACCTCACGATGTACCTTAAATTTCACACCTGAAGCCTGTGGGAGACACACTCAATCCATATCCAAGCCACCACACACCGTTTGATCCAATAATCTCATTTCAGACTGCATCCACAGAAATTGAAAATGGAATCTTGAACAGCTCTGCACACCCATGTTAGCTGTGGCATTCTTCACAATAGCCAGGAGGTAGAAGCACCCAATTTATCAAGAAATAAATGGGTAAAGAAAATGTAACACATACACAAGGGAATCTTAGCCACAAAAAGAAAGAAATTCTGCCACACACAACAACATAGATGAACTTGGAGGATGTTATGTTAGGTGAAGTTAGCCAGAAACCAAAGGACAAATATTGCATAACTGCATTTACATGGGGTATCTAAAATACTGAGACACAGAGAGCGGAATGGTGGTTGCCAGAGGCTAAAAAGAAATGAGGAGTAGCTGTTCAGTGGATATCAAGTTTAAGTTATACAACATGAATACATTCTGGAAATCTAATACTCAAAATAGTGCCTACACCTATTGATACTGTACTGTGCACTTAATTGTCTGGGAAGATGCCTTATGTTAAGTGTTCTTATTACAGTTTAAAAAAGAGCTTTTGGAGTTTAACTTTCCTGGGATAGGGAGAGACTAAAGAAAGAGACTGTGTATTTCAAAAGACACAGGATAGCTCCATGCGAACCAGAGCCCTGCCAGATCCAAGCCTTTCCCTGTGAGTCAGTGCCATTCAGGGACTGCGGGGCTTTTGGGGAAGAGAACAAGGATTCACCAAGAACTAAGCACTCCCTGCGAACCAGCACCATGCTCAGGGCTCTGTCAATAGGGGGACAGCTAGACCCCAGCCCCTTCTGACATGCAGGCTGGCAAATAAGAAGAGCCAATCCCTGCCCCCTTAGCCCCCATAAGTGACCAGCTGATCTGGAGAAAAATGGTGCAATTATGAGGTGAAACGCAGTTCGATGCTTGTGGTGTTTTGGTGTTTCACTGACCTTGCAGGTCTAGGGCCAGTGGTCTGATCAGCTGTTCAGAGGATAGTGGTACGCAGTGTGGCGTCTAGGGAGGGACCTCCTCCTTCCTTTGGGGTTATTTCCTTGGGTTCATTTAGAATAGAAGTACTTTATCAGAAGGTAGGAGTAGCTTTATAGATCATTTGCCTGGTGCCAAATTCGGTCCCATGAATTTTAGGTTTTTGGGTGCTCCTTACACCCAGAAAGGCCCCTTGTACAAGATGCTGTCCTGTTCAGAGATGGCTGGGAAGGTAGGTAAGTCACAGGAGTGTATATAAATGATTAGCTGCCTTGTGAATATTTGCTTGGATTTCCTGGGTGCAACATGGTCTCCTCAAATCTGTTGGCTGGCTGAATCACAGACTGCAAGCTGGATTTCAAGGGAGCATCCATCCATCCATTTATCCATCCTTCGTGGCATATTAAGAATCTAACTCTTATCTGGGAACCAGAGATAAAACAGCAAGCCAGAACAGTCAAGGTCCTTGCTTTCATGGAGTCAATAGTTTTGTGGGGGTGGGGAATGGAAGACAGGCAATAAGCAAGGTTATATCAGATAGAGTTTAAGTAATGTAATAGAACTAGATAACGGTAGGGAGGCTGCTAGCTTGGACAGGTCATTAAGTAAGGCTTCCTGGAGCTGGTGGTATTGATATGTTGCCTAGTTGGCTATAAGGAAGCCATCGTGCGATGACCTTGTGAGGGGAAGCTTCTAAGGGGAGGAAACAGCAAGGGTACAGGCCTTGAGATGTGAAGGAGTGACTGGGGAAGGAGGAAACGGGAGCTGCCAGTTATTGCCATCCGCCCCTCCCATGCCTGAAGCCCACCATTCCGAGCTCATTCCGCGTCTATTTAGATGCCTCACACATGGCCAGCCCTCTGTGTCTGTCTGTCTGTGGGTTCTGGGTCTGGAGATGCAACCAACGATGAGTCAAACATGCAGTTAGGCCCACAATGGTGGTCATCTGTCTTGAACACAGTACTGACTTTTCCTTCCTCATTATTCCCTCAACAATGCGGCATGACAACTATTTACTTAGCATTCATATTGTGTTAGGAGTTATAACTAATCTGGAGATTTGAAGTAGACAAGATGATGTGGGTAGGTTCTATGCAAATGCAGTGCACTGTTAGGTAAGGAGTTTGATGATCCTGGATTTTGGTGCCCTCGGCTGTCCTGCAGTGATGTCCTGCAGGTCCTGAGGGGTGGGTGTAAATGGAATCATGGTGTCTCCTTCCCTGCCTCCCTCCCTGCCATCCTCCCTCCCTCCTCCTCTTCTCCTTCCTTCCCTTTCCCTCCCTGGGTCTCTACTTCCCTCTTTTCTCCTTTCCTTCTTTCCCTTTTCTGTTTTCTCTCCCTCTGCCTCTCCTTTTGTGCTGTACTGGGGATTAAACCCAGGGCCTCTGCACTGAGCTACATCTCCACCCCTTTTTGAAATTTTTAAATTTTGAAACAAGGTCTTGATGAGTCACTAAATTGCTCAGGCTGTGTTTAAACTTGTGCTCCTCCCGCATCCCAGAGTGCTGGGACTGTGGAACTGCCCCAGTACCCAAGTTTCCTCCTCCTCTTCCCTCTGCCTCCTCCTGCTTCTCTTTGTCCTTCCTGTTCCTCTTCTTCCTCCTCTCCTACTCTTCCTCTTTCCTCTCTCTCTCCTCTCCCTCTCCTCCCCCCTCTTCCTTCTCCTTTTATTTCTTCTCCTCCTTTTTCAACTTTGTTGAGATATAATTGATATATAAAGACCTTCACGTATTGACATGTACAATTGGATGATTTCTTTCTCCTCCTCCTTTCCAAAAATAATTTTACTGAAATATAATGATCTAAAAAGACTTCCCCATAGTAACAGGTACAATTTGATCAGTCTGGACCCGCAGACTCCCATGCAGTCATCCCCACCAAGGGAATGGACATGGTCAGTGCTCTCATTGGGCAGGGCAGGTTTAAAGCAGTTCCATCTTTACGAAACGACAGCCAAGCTATTCTCATGTGAAATACAGCCAGACTTGTTATTTCCCAAGGCGGCATTTCTTGGTGTTTATTTTGTGTACCCTCAAAATTTATATGTTGAAATTCTAACCTCCAGCCCCTCAGAAGGTGACAGTATGTGGACACAGTGCCTTTAACTGGGAAATAGAGCTGAAATCCAGTGTGACTGGTATGCTTACCAGGAAGGGTGAGAGGGACCAGGCTTACACAGAAGACCTTGTGAAGACACGGGAGGAAGGCAGTGCATACCAGCCCGAGGGAAGCCCTCAGACAAAACCAGGCCTGCCCACACCTTGATCTTAAACTCTCAGCCCTCAGAGCGGAGAGAAAATGATTTTCCCTCTTCAGTCCTCACAAATCTGTGATACTCTGTTATGACAGCCTGAGCAGATGAACCCAGTGATCATTTTTTGATCTGCTCATCAGACAGGAGGGCGCACTGGAGTCCTGGGAATTCCGTTGTATGCACTTGTGGCTGGTGGAAATGGAAATGTACCAGTCTCAAGAACCTTGGTGTGATGTTATCTGAAGTCACCTTCTGCATGCCAGTGCGTCATCCTTACTGTTCAGGGCGGTTATAGTCTCACCCGAAGTCAGGGTATGCAGTAACCTTTGTAGCTTGTTTTCTTCCTGTAATTAAGTTTATAGCCTTTAATAGGCCTCCTTTTTAATCAGTAACTCGATTGTACAATCCACTCACAGAGTGGACGTTAGAAAAAACTTCCTAAGACAATAACAATCTTGAAACAGGAATGGAGAAACCAGATTTCTAGTTCAACACTGGATAGTGTAAGTTAAAAAATGTTGCTATGCAATATATAATTATGTGTAACATAATATTATATATGTATGCATGTGTGTATTTCTAAGTATAGTTGTATGTTGAAGAATCTTATTTATTTATTTAAATTAATTTTATCAGTACATTTTAGATACACATTATGCTAACACTCACCATAAGGAATTTGTACTTGTACATCATATATCATAATTCTTCATCTTCCCACTCCCCTCCTCTCCTTTCAACACCTCTTGCCTTCCTTATTTACCAAGGCTTTGTTTCCACTTTTCCTTCTATTTGTTTCTCATTTTTCCCTTTCCTCCTCCCTCTTTCCTAGTTCCCCTTCCCATTTAAACATTTTCTTACCATTTCACAATATCTGTTATGTATTTTGGTGCTTATTTACACTTTTATTTTCTCACACTGAGAAACAATGTGATACTTAAGCACGTGCATCTGATTTATTTCATTAAGCATGTGGTCTCAAGGTGCATCCATTTACCTAGAAATTTCTCAGGTTTACCCTTCTCTATGACTAAGTAGTAATCCAATGTATAAAAATATATCTTCTTTATCCATGCATCAGTTGCCAGAAATTTGAGCTGTTTCCATTACCACGGTATGATGCTTTTAATTCTTTCAGGAAGATATCAAGAAGAACGACAGCTGGGTTAAATGGAACTCTAGTCCTAGTTTTTTGAGGCATACCTACCCTGATTTCCACAGTGGTTGCACCAGACTGCATTCTCACCAACAGTAGAGAAGTGCTCATTTTCCTCGCAGCTCTGCCAGTATTTGTTATTGGTCGGTTTCTTGATGATAGCCATTTTTTCTGGAGTGAGATGGAGTCTTGCTGTTACTTTAATTTGCATCTCTGAAATGGCCAATGATGTTGAACATCTTCTCAGGTATTTATTTGCCATTTCTACTTCTTCATCTGAGAAGTGTATGTTCATTTGAGATACCCTTTGTTGGATTGGGTCTTTAAATCTGGGGGGGATCTGATTTTTGAGTTCTGTATTTGTTCTAGATATTAGTCCTTTGACTGAGGAACAGCTGGCAAAAAGTTTTCCCCACTCTGTCTCTTCACTCGGTTGGTGGTATTTTTTTGCTTTACAAAAGCCTTTTTATAAGATGAGATCCCAGTTGTTGATTCTTTGTGATATTTCCTGTGCAATTAGGGTTTTGTTCTTAAAAGTTTTGTCTATACTTATGTCTTCAAGAGTTCTATCTATCCTATCTGTCTGCAGATTTAGTGTTTCTGTTTCAATATTTAGATCTCTAACCCATTTTGATTTTAGTTTAACACATGGTGATAGACACAGGTATAGTGTTAGTCTTTGGCATATGGAAAGGCAGTTTTTCCAGCACCAGTTTTAAAAGAGGCTATCTTTCTTCCAATGAAGGTCTTTGGCCCTTTTGTTAAATACAAGCTGATTGAGTGTGTTTGGAGTTGTTTCTGCATTTTCTAATCTGTTCAGCTGATCTTCAAGTCTGTTTTTCTTCCAGTACCATGCTGTTTATATCACTGTAATTTTGTAGTATAATTTCAAATCAGGGATTGTGATGCTCTCTGCCTTGCAGTTGTTGCCTAGGTTGCTTTTGCTACTTTAGGTCACTTATGGTTCCAAATGAATTTTAAGATTTTTTTCTCTAATTCTGTGAGGTATTCCATTAGTATTTTGATTGGGATTGGATTAAATCTGTGAATCAATTTTGGGAGCATGGCCTTTTTCACTATATTGATTCTTCCTACCCAAGAGCAATGGATATCCTTCCATTTGTCTGATATCCTCTTTGATCTCCTTTTTGGAGTACTGTAGTTTTCAGTGTAAAGGTGTTTTACTTTATTAGGTTGATCCTAAATATTTAATTTCTTTGATGTTGTTGTAAAAGTTGCCACCATGAAATTTTAAAAAAACATTCTTTTATTTTTAAAAAATATGACTTTAGTATCTCTGGATGTACCCTTAAACATTTTTCTCATTTAGGGCTTGTCTTGGTTACTTTTCTCTCATTGTTGAAACAAAATATTTGACACCCAAAGTGAAGCAAGGAAATGTTTATTTATCTTATCTCAGTTGGCTCCAAGGTGTGGCTGAGGGCAGCTATTATTCATGGTAGCTATAAGTGACAAGAGCAAAATAGCAAAAGTAGGGAGAAGCATGCTTCCCCCTCATATTGTATGTCCATTACCCACCCCTGGGCAGGTGCAGCACTCATGCCACTAATCCCAGTGCTAGACAATGAACCAATCACAAATGCTAGATTCAGCTGTGTCTATGACTGCATGAGGCTTGGGGGAGCACCGAAACACAAATCATAACAGGGCTTTTTTTTTTTTACCTTTATTGAAGTGATAACAATCTTACATGTAGTACTCCACATGTAACCAGTTTAACCAATTTCTTTCATTCAAAGTTATCCATGTTGCTTATTGCAATGATTTCTTTTTTCCTGCTGCACAGTATTGTATCATGTAAATATTCAATAAATTATTCATTGTCTGTTAGTGGACATTCAGGTTCTTTATAGCTTTCTGTGTTACAGAGTTGTTTGGCATGTTTTTATACACATCTCTTAAATATGTTTATATGCTTTTTAATTAAAAACATTAAAGAATTTTTACAAATGTGAAATATGCTTGAAAATAATTACATCCCATTTCAATACAATTGAGTGATATTTTGTTTGAAAGAATTTGGGCTTGGTACTTGAGATCCTTGCATGAAGGCCATTAGATTTTGTCAGTAGCTCTGGGAGGGCTGCAGGGCCTAACAGGCGGCTCCTTATTATTTACGGGAAAGCTAGGCCTAGTAGGCAGCGGGGAGAAGTAAACTCATTTGCTTAAGGATCTCCTCTTTCCCTCTGTCCGGCCCTTCCCCCTTCCAATCGACAAAGCGTATTTGTGCATATTTATGGGCCACACTGTGATGTTTTGATGTACGCACACATTGTAGAAGGATTAAATCTAGTGAGCTGACCTAGCCATCATCTCTTACCTCTTGTTACCTACTTCTCATTTCTTCCCCACTTGTCCTTTCAAATAAAGTGTCTTATTTGAGCTCTATGCTAGATAAAGTTTTCCTTGTAGCTTTTTCAGGTTTCAAAGGGACTCAGAGAATAGAAACACAGACTAAGAATTCCATGGAGAAAGGCAATTCCTCTTCACTGCAAAGACCCAACATAACCTAATTCTTTTGGCATTTGTGAATATGGTGAATTGGGGCACTGTTAGAGAGCAGATGTAAGTACTTATGTAAATACTGCTCAGGTTGGCAGCTGTGTTTGTGTTGAGATGACAATCTGTGGCAGAGACTGGCATCTGAAATTGAGGGTTTTGCTTTGCTTTATGGAGAAATTGGACATTCTGTTGTTCTTTTCTCTTGGTATGACCCAGAGTATGCTTGGAAATGTTTCTTTCATTTTTTCCAAGAAGTTGCCATGGTTATAGTTCGGTTTGTTAGTGTCAAAATAAAAACATGAACACGGTACATTTTATAGAGAAGCGACATTATTTTCATCAGCATCCCTGGGTGGGGAATTACCCAATCTTGGGCAGGGTTTAGCTAATGTGCTGTGAATGACAGTGTGTCTGAACTGTGTCCAGGGGTCAGGGACATAGGGACAGAAACCACGAACTGAGGGATTGACATTCCATGCTAGTGGGACGATCTTGGGCCTGGAGGGGTTCATGAGATTGAGCCATGTTTCTTACTCTGACGTTGGTCCTTGGCATGACCTCAGGCAAGTCACTCTCCCTCTTGGGCCTTTCACTGTCTCTTTTGTCAATAAGAATGCTAGACTACGCAGTCTCAAAGACCTTTACTTCTAGAATTCCAAAATTCTGTGGATTTTCTTTTCATAGCTGCTTGAAAACTATACCCTTTCCGTTTAAATCCACCAGAGGGCAATATGTCCCATGTCGTAGCCCCAAGCCTAGTTTGAGAGTCTCAATGACTACCCTAAATGCCTCCTAAGAGGGAAACTACCATCCAGTGCCTGCCTTCCTTTGATGCCCACAGATGAGAGCAGACAAAGTTCCTTAGATCTACTATTGGTTGAAGGTCTTTACACTCCTTGCCTCTGACCACATTTCAGTTCCCTGGGTCCAGAGCCAGCCACCCACTTCCCAGGCCTGGACCCTAAAAGCCTAAGGAATCAAAAGGACTTGCCGTGGACCACAGGCTTTCTACTGGTGGACTTGAGGCTTTCTCTTCCTCACCCTGATTATCCTCCTCCAGTGGACCTTCAGTAGCCACCTCTGTTTCCAAGGGATTTCTGCTGCAATGAGAAGACAGTTTACATGTACATTAACTGGGAGAAAAAACCCTGAGATTATGTTAGGGTCAGGGTAGGAGCTGAGTTGCACAGATAGGCCAAAGTGTGTTTACAGTGTGACTTTTCTTTTGGGATGTGAGCTATACAGCGGGAAAACATGGTGGCCATGTATGGATGCTTTGTCTAAGTTGCTGACAACAGAATCCACTTTGGCTCATCTAAGTAGCAAGGGAATTTTTTAAAGAGTATCAAGAAATCCTCAGAATCTCCAAAGGGGCAAGAGATAAAAATCTGAAGTGACATAGCCAGAAACTATGACCAATTAATTACACTGTGGGGATTTTTTTGGAAAACAAACAAACAAACAAACAAACACACTACACAGCTTTTGTGACTTGAGATGGAAACTCGAATAGAAACTAATTCTGATGGAGCACCTTCTGTTTGGGGGAGGCTGTGTTCTGGCACCAACCTTAACTCATTTTGCCCTGGGGATTGATGTCATTATCCTTAATAAACAGCTAAGGAATTCAGGCTTGGGGAATTTATGACTTGCTCAATTAAGTTCACTGACTTCAAAGTTTGAACTCAGAATATGATGACACAGACCTTGGGCGGGAGTTAGGGATTGCCCAAAGGGCGATTTTAGGGAGGAGCGGTTTCTTGATGCTTCTTACTCTTTGTATCTCTTTTGTTTTCTAACACTATGGAAAGAAAGGGAAAAATA